TTTTACATTTTGTATAATTGGTCTATGCGGTGTGCACAGCAGTAGCAATATTCCGCCATAACCGACTGGCATGTCTGTCTGATTGCGCTATAGCAGTATTTTATTTACAAAGATAAAGAAGAGAAAAAAACGGGGTTCCAGAATAGTGTCTTTATAACAGACTTCTCATTATTTCGGGACTCGTTATAAGTGGACTCCACTGTATAGGCCATATATGGCCTAAATAAGGTAAGGGTGGGGGGGTTTGCTTATATAGGCTGTATGTGGCCTAAATAAAGTTAGGGAGGGGTTTATAGGCCATATGTGGCCTAAATAATGTCACCCTTAATTCTTTCATTTTGGAGTGTCAGTGGTCTAGAGAAAAAGCGAAAAGTGGTTTATTGATAAGGCTGTTGGGCTCGCAACCGAAAGGTTGTTGGTTCAAATCCCATAAGGGGCCCAATATTTTTATCCATCTGAAAGGCAGTTGTCCAAATTTCCTAAACTTCACCCAGGTGGAAACAGGTACAGAGCAATAGACAGTGAAACACAGCTGAATACCATCAAATGATCTTGTCCGTTTGATAGTGTTTGAGCGCTTAATCAGCTGCTTGCACTGTGACTGTATGCTTCCCAGGTGGCTGAGAATGTTTCTGAGTGTTCTTGGGTTTGCTGGGGTAATAATGCAGATTATAAAGCGCATCGAACTTGCTGTTAAGCAGAAATATGAGATATACAAATGCTATTTATTATTACTTTTTATCTTGTTATCCAAACATTTTATTTTTATAGTCGCTATTTTTAGCATATTTCCACACAGTATGACGTCAGCATTGAATATTTTGGTGTTGCTTCCCCTTCTCTTTTCTTCTATAACAATTTTCTCCAAAATACTCACACGTTCAAATAATTATGTACACAGCCATAACCATTTATTTATGGAAGCATTTTCAAATATACAAAGCATTTTGCTTGTGGAATGCTGATCTTTATATATCTATTGTAGGTGAGTACTTATCTATCTAAAACAGCTATGGCATTGCTGTTCAGACCCACACCTGACTGCAAATGAAACATCAGGTGAAGAACTTGATCTAGACCTATGACGAATTTGGTAAATTTGATAAAGAAAAGTGCGGGTGGTTGGCGGGTGCTCTAGTGTGGTCTTTTTCTTCTTCTTTCCTATCAAACATCTATCGTCCTTATCTCCCCTTCTTCTTTTTTATGTTTGTTACTCTCTTGTAAGACCTCTAATCTTCTGGCGCTCATATGACCTTATGCAGTTGCGAGCGCCGTAAAACCTCTACGAAAACACACCCAAAAAAAGACAGAAAAGTCTCTAAAACATTGGTGGAAAGTGCTCTCTGCTATTTCGATATATTTTTCTTTTTTTTGTCAAAGAACATATAACCAAAAGTGATTCCAATTTAGTAAGGGTGCAGCTTGAGATGTCATGGATTATGTACTTAAACTTACAGTGCTAACGCTTTGTCTAAAATAAATGGCTTAATGGGGAAAACAGTCTGATAGAATTGTCCTCTACCTTTATGTTGTCAAAATTTTAAAATGGATCTGCTACCTCTTTATTATTTTGATTCAAAAGAAACTAATCAACCTTTATCTTTTTAAAACCGTTGAGGTGCATATTTTGACACATCTAAAAAAAAAATGAACTGCCATGTAAGTCAAGTAAGCAGACGACCTTAATTAATTCCTGATCTCTTTATAGTCTCTTGCCAAACCATCAAGCTCTGAGAAAATGTTTGGTCACTGGACATTTAGGGTCGATTTCAAAATGTTCTTCGTAATTCTTTGACCCTCGGATATACTGTAACAAAATAGCACCATGATTATGTCTCTTTTTCTGTACCCAAACAAAAGCACTAAATAGCCCCCTGATTGTCTTCACTTCCTTTCCCAAACTGTGCTGTAGGTACTTCAGTGGTTTGACTACTCGTGAAATTGGGGCTTTTGAAGTTCGAGGCTCAGTTCAGTCCAACAATATGTCCTTTGGTAGGACACTTTTTATGAACGTTCCCATTTGGCCCAGTCCTGTCGAAGATGAACATTAAATTTGAAGGACCCACCTCTTACATAAAAGCTAGGTAAAACTGTTTCTTTATTCTAAATTGTTTTTATGCCATTGAAAATTTAGTATTTGTTGCGATGCTACATTTGATGAAAGTTCATATTTAGAAATATGAGCAACTAGATGATGGAGAGAGGAAATCAGTTTTGTATTAAGTTCCCGACAAGACTCAAGAAGATTATTACAAAGGTGGAGAACTTGACTCAAATGTTAAAGTATTTAAAAAGTAAAGAAAGAAGATGGGCCATGACACCCCCCCCCCCCCCCCCCCCCAAAAAAAAAATTAAACTGGAAAATAATATCTTACGTGTATCTGGGTCTAATGTCCATGTGTGTTATTTCAACATTGGAAATAAAGGTATTGCACGTCTTAATGGTATTCTGTGGTTTGTTCTTGTATCCGAAGTTTTATTAATTGTTTATACTGTAGAACACGGCTATAGTGGGACTTTTGGTTCCAGAAGAAAAATCCCGCTGTAGGCGAGTTGCCGCTATAGGAATGCAATGGGGAAATTACCGGAAATTTTCTAAAAATCCACGTGATTACCTCCCTTCCATATCAATGAAATTTGCGCTTTAGATTTATCTTCCTATTATTGTCAACTTCGTTGATTATCTCGGCCTTTAATTATAGTGAAAAGCATTTCCTTTTGTCTTTGTTGGAAGCCATCTTTTCCTCGGTCCTGTTGCTTCTGCTGTCTATCGTACCGATAGGCCTACTGTAGATAACTGGTGAAGTGGATGCGTGCGTATGCCTCTGAGCACCAACGGTCTCAATTCAATAAATCAGGAATCACACGCTACCCGCTCTCCTCTTCTTTTACTTTTTGACCTGGCCTAAGGCTATGGCCTATACGCTCTCCTACTGAGCGTTTAAGCTACGGCACATCACTTTTGGAGTGGCTCACTTAATGCGTCTCTCCGCACCATCTCTCTCTTCCACCTGCCCCACCTCCATCATCACTGGACTAGCCAATCGCAACGTCACACCGCAGACTGCCTGTTTGGAGCCCACCTGCAGCCCCCCAAAACCCTTCCCCCCAAGCGAGAGCTCGCTCGATCTCTCCCGCTGTATCCGAGTTAAGGCCTTTCTTTGCCCCGCTATATCCAAGCATAAGTAATTGAGTTAACATCGTTAAAAAACGGGTATCTCTGTAAATTCCACTGTAGCGGGTGCCCCTATAGTCATGTTCTACTGTATTTTCAGTCATCAGTGATCTCAAGGCTTGCTTGTGGAATGGTTGTGGGCTTGTTTTTGTTTGAAGTTGTGAAAGTAAGAGGTGTATTTCTTAGAACATATTGTGCTGTAGAGAGATTTTATAAAAGAATCATTTTCAGCTTCTTGATTTTAAAATCAATGGGTTATCATTATAAAATAATGGGGGGGGGGGTGTGATGGTTTTGTGCTCAGTGATAGTAAATTTTAATCGTCTGATACATGAGAGTTACCAGATAAAGAGAAAAATGCTGTATGGAAAACAATTGATCAAAAAGAACTCTTGTGCATTATCTGAGCATCATTGCAAAATCAGCTATTCATTTGTCGTGCGTTGCAGGTAAATTGACCTTCATGTGTCGATCAGTAGTGACAGTTTTATCTCACTTATCTGGATGGGTATAAACACTTCATTATCTCCCAATGATAATTTTAATGAATCCTGGCTGACAGTATCATGAATGCGCTTTCAGAATTCTCAAATGTTGTAGAGCAGGACGGAAAAAAAGGAGGATCTCATCTATTTAAGTTGTTATTAATGTACTTATCTATGCTGTCCATATTTCCCATCATCCCATTATCTTCTTATTATAGCAATGATTTATAACATCCGCCCCCATCTCCAGTACAATAGCAGATTAAATAAATAGACCATTGATATTTCCATCACTGTTACATATCCGCCTCCTTTCCGTCCTTTATCTTTATTCTGATCAGTTGGCCTCTCAGTTTTTGTCTAGATCTATCAAAAACAAATCATCAAACTGAGAGTGAGTGATAAGGTTTTTGCTAGACTTGTTTTTCGCACAGCTCGTCGATATCATGTTATTTTTTAACTTTTGCTGTGTTGCTTTAAAAGAAATTTATTATGGTTAGTTTGTTACGCTTCAAATTGTGGACTTTTAACCAATTTTTTAAAATTTTGTAAAAAGGAAGAAAAACATTTGAAATTCTTTGCTTAGGTTGTACATAAGTTGTATGTTGGTGGTTTGAATATATAGCTGGTAGATTGTTATTTTTCCCAAGCTTTATATGTTAATTGTGAAGCATCGTGGTGAAATCATGCGCTCATCAAAATTAATGAAATTTTTTTTTTGACTCTGAAAGCTACATTTTTCTGGCTGTTGGACTTTTTTTTTTTTTTTTTTAATTTTCTTCTTTAGCTCAACACCTTCGGTGTCCATGTCAAAAAGAAACCTTGATCAAAGGCACAAAAAATGTAAACATGCAGTTTCTATTGACACTCAAGTTTTTGGAAGTCCTTAAACTTTGACATCCATTTTCTCACTAATTTTACCTCTGAAAGTAGGTGACCCCCACCTCCTTCAATCGCAAATATCTCAATTTTTATTCTAGCTAGATTGGTTTGGGGGTTTTTTCATCAAAAGCAAGGCAAATAAACAAGCTTTAAGATGGTACCAATAAACTCTTCCATATGCCAAGCAGTGATAGGTTCCTGATTCAACACTGTCATGACACAGTTTCTTGTTTTGGTCAATCTTCATGTCCAATCTTTATCTGTTACTATGGAAGTGTTGTGACTGTCTCTTTTTTCTGCCATGCAAATGGTTGGAAGACAGCACTGGTAAGTCCTGTTTTTCTTCTACTCTGTTGTTTTTCTGTCTGTTTGTCTTACTTCTTCCTTGATCTAAATGATTGTTATTAAATCGAAGTGCTTCTCTTTACTCAAACTCAAAATCCTGAAACAAATTCGCATTCTACACTGCATCCTCAGAGTTACCCAAACCATCTTTGGGAGATCTTTCTGACCTGAAAGCTTCTAGTCTTCGCCTTCGAAGGGAACGAACTCCCAATGTGCTGTGCTTTGACTACAAAGAACTCTCGGACATTGACTTTGTGAAGGTGGAGCTGGTGCCGGAGAAGAAGGGCATCATTCTCAAACATGTGGAGTATGAAGTCACCAGCCAGGTGAGGGGTGGGGGGAGAAAGAGAGAATGATAGATTGCAATGTTGTGTTTTGTGTTTATATAAAACGTATCTACATTTAAGCTGCAGGTGAAAGCACTTTATTTCATTTTATAAGAGGATTGATAAAGTAATACAGTCCCTGTCTTCATCTGCTTTTTTAATTGAAGTAGGTCTTACTTCTTTGCTACCTTTTGTATCTGTCCGTTATTTTGCTTTTTCCGGCACTATATCTCATTATTGTGAAGATGTGTTTCTCTTTGCTCAAACTCAAAAACTCTAACCCATAGCATGTATTATAAAACTCTTTTGTCAAGCTCAAAGATGGGATAATTCTTTTTCACCATGCCTGTCCACAGCTTTCTCATCTCTTTTCTTTGTTCATGAGTTTAATGTCCTAACTCAGTAAGTATACTCCCCTGCTGATCCTTGGGATATGGGTGGTTGGAGGAGGTTTCAATAAGTTGTTCCTGCTTTTTGTTTTCTCCCTTTGTTGCTTCTGTCCATCTGGTTTAGGTTTTCACAGCACTAAGTGACCATTATGACATTGTCTGTCTTAACTCAAGCAACTAATAAACTTGTCCACAGCGCCACAAGGCGACAGTACAGCGGAGGTACAATGACTTTGTGGCCCTGCACGAGCTGCTCTCAAGTCGCTTCCCATACCGACTTGTGCCCAGGCTGCCTCCGAAGAAGATGGGAGGTGAGACATGGGGTGGTTGATGGCTGTTCTGGGCTGTTTTGTTTGTTGTTCTTTTTGTGCTTAGTTGCTATATTCTTCTATGTCTTCCCACCTGCTTCTCATACATTCAAAGTCTGAACCACCCCCCGCGGCAGTGCCACTGACTGAAGTGTCTTTAGGCCATTCCCAAAGGGGGGACATTTCTCGTTCAAGCATAGTAGAATTGTAAATGGGCTGACTCATGTCACGCTCATAACTGTGCCTGATCTACAACAGGGAACTGCTACTTTTTCTGTCCTGATCCCTGCTATTGTCATTTTCCTCTACTTCTTTTGTATGTTTGTCACTCTCTTGTGACCTGCTATTTTGGGGTACCTCGATAGTCGAAGCAGACCTTGTGCTGTTGAAGCTAGAGAGGTGAGCAGTCTAAGTCTGATTCCCTGTAAAGACTTCTCTGTTGACACCCACCCCTTGACGCTCATATGACCTTATGCTGTCGCGAGCGCCGTAAAACCCTCTACCATTAAAAAAATATGTATAAAGTCTGAATGGACGTGAAGCGAGGGATTGTCGGTGCCCCTAAGACAAGTAGGTCTTAGTTCTTTTCTCCCCACTCTGTTCTGTCTGTCAGTTTTGTGTGGGTGGCTGGCTGGTGGTCTGATTTGGTTTGTGATTTCCTATAAAACGTCTTTCGTCTTATTCTCTCCTACTGTTTTTCTTTGTAGTTACTCTCTTGTAATACCTCTAATTTTAGGCACTTATATTACCTATTTGTGACATTGCAAGTGCCTAAAAACTAAAACTAAAAGTTTTGCTTCACTGAGCGTTTAGTATCCTTTATTGTGTAGATATGCTTCCCTTATAGAAGCCTGGTGGCATCTCTAGGGGGTTTTCTGTGGTCTTCAGTCCAGGATGATCATTTTAATGTTCCATTTTTCAAAAATACTCCCTGGCTCTTCACATGGCAGTGACAGGCATTCTCACAAATGCACTTGCGGTAAAAATGACTCCAAGTTGCAGTTGATCTTATCTCTGTAAGACACTGGCTCTGGCCATGTGACCCCTTTTGGATTTTTTTGTACTGGGCATTCCTCTAGCAAATGGTTTGCAAGCTATTAAAATGTACTCAGCCCAGGTTGCAACATTTTACAGGAGAGAGAGAATACCGTTTCATTCTTTTAATAATTGTAGCTACATTGTGTGTTTTTCCATGGGTTTTTTTTTCAGCATTTAGAATTTGAAATTCAATATTATAATTTCGATAAAATATTTCTTGAGCACTCGCAACTGATACCACAGATGAAGAAATTGCAGTTCGATAAAATTCTAAATTTTGGGCTTAGTGTGTTTAAACAGCTAGCCGAAGAAATTATGTTCTGTGGTATTTCTCATGAGTATTGTTTATTTTGCAGCCTCAAGGGAGTTTATTGAGCAGAGGAAAAAGTCTTTGAGAAGATACCTCAATATTGTGGCCAGACACCCTCAGATGTACGACGACAAACTAGTCAGATATTTCCTCACCTTCACAGGAAATGTAAGTACAGTTGAACCTGCTATAAAGGCCAGGTGCATGAGATAATCACCTTAACAGCCTTAGACCTGCATTTTTGCCGACAATCGTCTGAAATCCGACAATCGTGACCCGACCCGCGAGCCGGTCGATGCTGTCGCTAGGCCCACCTGTATCAGTCAATGTGCGTAGTGCGAGGCCTGGCCGACTGCCAGCGCCCTCTTTTTCTCCCGTCGTCGGCTTTGTCGGCACTTTCGTTTTCGTGCTGACTGCCGCCGTCGGCGTTTCCGACATAATTGTCGGAACCTGAGTTGAAATGCGAATGCGAAAAAGTACGACGACCTAAATTATCTACTTTCAGTTTCGTGCTCGAGCTGCCATTTTGAATTTCGTTTGTTGACTAATTCAATTGTTCAGATCATGTTGATTCATTCAAGTCCGACTCACTTGTTCTAATAGAATCTAGTCTAGATCTAGATCTAGATTTATATAGATCATTATCAGGGTGGCCAGGGAAGTCGGAAATTGGTCGGAAATTTTTGTTTAAGTCGGATTTTTGTCGGAAAAATTTTGTTCCGACGGAAATGGTTGGATAAATGTCGGCAATAAAAGGAAATTTGAGGAAATCTGTAATTTGCCTTGGGAAAGACCTCGGAAAATACATAAAAGTTCTCGAATATTTGAAAACCAAATCCAATAACGTCCCTAAGTTCATTTCGTCGGTCGCGATCATTCGGCTTTTCCCGGTCTGAGGCTGAGAGTACGTTTCATGCGAACAGGCGGCTATGGCGGCAAGCGGAAATGTCCGAATGATGCCGAGGCTCGATCGGGAAAATCTAGATATACTTTCGCTTTCACTACCACCCTGAAATTTGCCGGTAAAAGTCTGATAACACAACATTGCTGCACTGTAACATGCAGTTTGTGCATGACAAAGGCTGAGTCGCTATGAAAATAAATCAATATTTGTCACTTGTGTAAAAAGAAAAGAAAGTTATACAAGCGTCTTGTCGGGCTCGCCATCGTGACCGGTCACTGAACCTGCGCATTTGTATGTCAGGGCGTCGAGTGAGTACCGCGAATGTTGGGGTCACTAAAGTTCATTCTAAGTCTGAGCGTTGCGAAGTTTAGGACTCCGGGATGGGGGGATTATTGGTTTTTTTTTAAAAGATACACTCGAGTGGGGGGGGGGGGGGGGGTTAAAGGCAACACCAGGGGGGAAAAATGAACTTGGTAGCAAATTTTAGCATTAGCATTTAGAATTTTGATAGCAACGAGAGCTTTCTGCATAGCGCATGTTGTGCAGGACCTACCTGTGTGGAATCGGGATCCGTCATAGCTTGTAAGCTGTGTTATTGAACTAAAGGGTTGGCGTGTCATTGGATGGGTGATAGTCGTTTGACCATGGAAAAACTCAGCAAGATAGTCTTTGGAGAGTAGAAGATTGACGGCACTTGGCATACTGAAACCCAGGCTAGAAACAGACTTATTTTTCTTATGATTTTTGTGACTAATATATGTGTAGACTATAACTAGAGAGAGAGTTCTAGACTAGATCCAGCATCATGGGAAATTGCTACTTCATCAACACTGAGTGGTTGTCCAACCCTAAGTATTCAGAATGATTGATGGAGTATCCAAATGATAAAAGCAAGTTTAGATGTAAATTTTGTTCCCAAGTATTTGTCATCAGTCATTCAGGTGTAAAAGCTTTGAACACTCACATGGTACCTCAAAAACACATGAAAGCCCAAACCAGCCAGTGTGGTGCCAAATCTATTCTTAACTCACTTGCGACTGGGCTCTTTCACCAGTCACAAGCGTTGAAGACTGGCGTTTTGGGGGGTATTTCAATAAATCACCACAACTCTCAGAATTACCCTATTGTAATCATTTTTTGACACAGTAAAGTAACATTCAAGCTTAATCTAATACAAAAAACAAAAGTTGTCTAAGTCTAATACTTTAATTTGTATGATTTTTTTTAAATTGGCATGAATTTGATTTTCCGAAAAATTTCCAGAGACGTGACAAGTAGAATGAAATTCACTGCAACAACAAAAATAAAAGTTCAAAGTGTTCTAGTTTGATTTGTATCCATGTGCGAGTGTTTGGTGAAAATATAAAAGCTGGTCTGTGCATTGATTCAGACCCATACACTGAATTACATGAGACAGATGTACGGCACGACGTTGTGATTTCGTTGCGCGAAAAACAACACCGGTACTAGTGCTAGATCTAGCCCTAAAACTACGACTCGGGCCGTGTTCGGGCACATATCCAGGATCCTAACCATTAGACACATCATATTCTGAGACACTAGAACTAATAAAACGCACAGAAGTATAGAAAACGGCGAAATTATGTGATTCTTGTTCATGCAACTTCTTCGACCGTTACTATGACGCGACTGTCGGATTACTATCAGCTGTATAGAAAAAAACAAAGCGCGAGTTCCGATCTGTTCAACTCCAGTTGGGGTCACTGTCCTTCACCTTCAATAACTTAAGAACTACCGGCCCCAGAGATACGAAACGAAGTCTAAGTAGCTCAGGCTTGGCCAAACAAGGGTACGAGGTGGGTCTCGCGATCCGTGCGGGATTTGTAGAGCGAAAAAAAAATTCCAAAGTTGGTCACGCAGGGCTTGTGAGACCCGTCGCGAGCGTCGCGGCGGGGGTCACGCAACTGTTGTGTGACCCGTCTGAAGTGAGTTAAGGTTACCAAGAACAGAACAAGTGTTGTGAGAGATACTGAAAGGAGCATCAACAGTAATATAATAGTAATAATAATAATAATAATAATAGATAGCATTTGTATAGCGCATATCCCCGCTCAACAGCAGGCTCTATGCGCTTTACACTATATTATTACCCCAGCAGACCATAGAACACTCCGAAACATTCTCAGCTTCCCGGGAAGCATACAGTGCGAGCAGCCGATTAAGCGCTCAAACACTAACAAACTGACAAGATCTTTCGCTGTCTATAGCCGGGTACCCATTCCCACCAGGGTGAAGTGAGGAAAATAAGTGTAAAGTGCCTTTCCCAAGGACACAACGTCGGGCCCCTAACGGGATTCGAACCCACGACCTTACGGTTGCGAGTCCGAGAGCCTAACCACTAGGCCACCGACTAGTAATCAACTAGAGCAATTGTTGACACGAGTCTTCTCATTCATGAGATGTTTTCAGGCTGAAAAATAGCTGAGATTTCAGTGTAGTAGCACAAAACGTGGCTACCTTGGAACATTAATTGGGATTGCCCCGGTGATGTAGTCGGCTATCCTAAAATGTGTACAAAATAGCTCCTTCTACGTGATTCTCTTTGACGAGAGCCGTAACACTGACAATGGCAAGAAACAACTTGACCTATAGTGGTAGGATTTTCTTTGGTGTGGTAGGATTTTTAGGAGGAGAATTTCCCTGGCCACCCTGATTATAAACCTCAATGGAGGATTCTTATTCCAATTCTATTGTGTCAAACCCTATCATAGGTTGTGCTGTAATATTAATGTTGGTAAAACGCATTTCATCAGGTGCGTGAATTATTTATTATTTATTTAGAAACTAGAATCTAGATCATATCTAGATCTAGACTCAGCTGAGTCCCTCTGTTCGGAATCGGATGTGGATTTCTAGTTCAAGGCCTATTCCTATTCACTTGTTCTACAAGATCTATCTAGATTTATTTAGATTACTAGATCTAGATCTATAATATGGAGGATTCATTATATTCCAATTCTATTGTGTTATTGTATCAAACCCTATTATAGCAATGTAGATCTAGATCTAGATCGAGGCCATATATTATTATGCTCCTTGCTTGTTTGTTTTGGAGTTTGGTTTTTAAAAAATTTTTGTTTTTTCATTTTGGACTTGTTCTGGCCCTTTTACATGAGGCCCGTTGCAGGTTCTTTTTGGGGTAGGGTTAGGGTTAGGTCTCTTCTTTATTGTGTTTGTTGGGGTGTTCGCTCGTTATTCGGAATTTCTTCCTTATGACACCTACAAAAGCTCTAATGTGGGGGGGTGCAAAAAATATTCAGACAATCTGGTTGAGGCTCACATGCTGGTCTACAACCTCTCCCATTTACTCCCTTGCATGTTTTATACAATCTAATGACACTGTACAATATGTCACCTGTATTAGACGACCATTTAATTCCCTGGGTGACCATCGTAGACAGTTTTAACTGTAGTGTCTACAGACTCACACTTGCACTTGTAAGTTGAAAAGCAAAAATTTGCATATTCACAACAGTTTGGTATTGTCCATTCCTTTATTCTTTCCTGCAAGCAATCCTTTCCCTTTTTAACACTTTGCCGTCACATCTCGCCGATCGGCAAGAGCGCCGAACTTTCGCTCCCATCACAAAACGCCGATCGACGATGTTTACCTCCCTGTTTCTTTGGATTTCCCCCAAAATGCTTGTGATGGCAAAGTGTTAAGAAGGAAATGAAGAAAGGTCTTGCTGTATACACATTTACTTATTTCATTTGTGCCATGATTTTCTTTTTCTTTTCTTTATTTCGAACCTTTCGTAATTGGCTTAAAGCACAAATAGTGGGTGGTTGGCGGGTGCTTTGGTGTGGTTTGCTCCTTCTTTCCAACCAAACATCTTTCATCCTAATCTCTCCTCCTTCTTTTTTGTGATTGTTACTCTCTTGTAATACCTCTAATCTTTGGAGTTTAACACTTATATTACCTTATTGTGTTGCAGATGCCGTAAAACTCTTACTAAAACTTTAAAAAGCAGAAATCAATGAGACATGTGGTCACCTTTTTATGAAAATATTTTATTCCTAACAATAATTCATTGACACTGCTTGTGGTGGCAGTTTGTATTATACTGACTTTTCAGGTAACTGTTATAATGTAATAAAGTATATTGAACTTGTGAGGAATGGGACACTTATTTATTTTCTCAAAGAATGTAAGTGTTGTTAGGGAAAAAAATGAATGTTGTGAACAAAATCTTTTTTCAATTTTAATCTTCAGGATGTCCAGCACAAGATCAAGGAGCAGTTCAGGAACATTCCAGATGAGTTCATGACAAGCGACATGGCAAGCAAGGCAAAGGTAGATTTACACAAGTGTCCACAGCTGTAGCAAAACTGCTTTAGTGTACTCTTGTGTGTTATGTCTGATTGAGGGGGGGTGTTGTTGCAGTGTTGTCAGTGAATGTCATAGCCGTCTGTACCCCAAGAGGTGGAGAGTGGTTAGTTATTAGTTAGAGGGTTAGAGGGTACCACTAATAGAATATCCTTCTTCACTTCTGCCATATGATATTTCAGTCTGCAGATGGTTGGAGGGTGCCAGTAATAGGTCTTACTTCTTCTCTTTCACTTTGTTTTTTCTGTTTGTCTGTTTTACTTGTTCCCTGCAATATAAGACTATAATCCTGTGGGTGTGTTCTGTCAAACCTACTGTAGTGACCACCTGTACAAACAGTCTCACCCCTGACACTGTCCACGACAAGCAGCTGTCCGAAATGACTGCTAACACTGTATTTTATGAACTAAAAGCCCCAAAATTTGTCCAGGATGACCAGGCAAATTTTTCATTGCTGGACGTGTTGCTACAAATTATTGGCCCCTATTGCTGTGGACGAACTGGCAACAAAGACGGACAACATACTCTTTTGTTTTTGTCCTCCCCCCTCCCCCAGGACTTGGTCCCCATGGACACACAACAGCAGCTGTCCAACAGCAAAGAGCACATCAAGATTTTGTATGAGAACGTGTCACGCATGAAGGAGATTGCTGAGCGTATGGTGATTCGCTCCACCACGTATGCCACGGATATGCTGCAGCTGGGACGACAGTTCAGGTAGGAACCACCCCCACCAATCCCATCCTTCTTTCTGCCTCCCTACCACCACCACCCCACCCCCCTTGCTCTCTCTCTCTCTTTCTCTCTCTCTCTCTCGCTCTCTCTCTCTCGCTCTCTCTCGCTCTCTCTCTCTTTATCTATCTACCTATCTCTCTCTCTCTCTCTCTCTCTC